GTACAACATTTAAAATATTTTGTTAAAAACCGTTTGAGTAATTGTATCTCAACAAAAGAAAGACCAATGGACAGAAAGAGGAATACTGAAGCCTAATCTTGGGGTGGGAATTTTTTTTTTGATTTTTTTAGTTGAGGATGCATACTTTCATGATCTGGGCATCACACAAAATTTTAATGAATGTCACAGTTGTGTAACATGTAATAAACCTTAAAGGGACTTAGGTTTTATTTAGAATTTATTTACTTTAAATAACCTGCAAAAAATGCTATTATTAGCGCAGAATGTGTTACTGCATATACAAATATGCATCATATTCGACTTTGATGTTTAATTAACGCAGATAACATACTAGGGTTGATCAAAAAGTAATGTTACAGTGTCCATATCTTTCATATTTAGCGTCATATTATCAAATAAAATATACCGAAAGATGCACAAATACAAATCTAATCAACATTGAAACTTTCATTTCATGATGTTTATTTTAATTTATTTTATAGATGATTAAAACATAGTGCATAGAGGATGTCGCCGCGTCACAACTAAACGTCACTTTTAAAAGTTTATTTTTTTCTTAGAATGAAAAAGACAAACACATTAAGAAGATTCTAAATAAGCACTTATCTCTCAATTTTTAAAAAGACACAATTCACGTTATTTTTGAGTATTGAATTGAAAATTAAATGACGGCATTGGTATTTGTGATCAAAAACATTGGTGTTTTACTATGTTGAATTTTGAACAAAGGGATTGTCGGAATGAGACATTACAGCTCGACGAGTTGTAATGCATTTTTATTGCTTCAAAATATGGGAATCATCACTAGCGACAATAACGTTAATTAATCAGACTCAAAGAAAAAAGAATGTAAATAAGATACTTTTTTATAGATAGTTTCAGTGATTTTTGGGTGGGTGATGGGTCATTGAATGATCAGCAGAGGACAAGACCGAAAGATTGGAGATCGGACGGCAACGTTCAATGGTCTCTGACGTTGTCAAGAAAGACAGACGGATAAAATGTGAATTTTCAAGTTTTTCTTATGCTACTGTTCAAAAAATTTTGACAGAAGGCTTAATTATGAAAAGAATGAGTGTATAATAGTACCAAGAATTCTTAAAGAAAGTGAAATTGGTGAGAGTGTTTGCTAATCACAATATGTTTTTAATGAAACGAAGGGGAAACGCTTAAAAACTTGACGGCGCATATCCGTCATATGACGTTATATTTAGGTGCGGTGACTACCACAAACGCACATTGTTTAACATCCGATCTTTTAGAAAGTAAACATTATATTCTTCAGAATTTTTCAGGTCTGATTTGAAATAAATAAAGCTTCGATCATATATAATTTTGTTGTTTTACGTCGATTTATAACAATTTTATCAAATTTGTGACATAACTTTTGGATCAACCCTCGCACCATTGGAACAGGAGTTTCCTTGTGTCCCCGGATTATTTTCGAGTTTGTACGGTCTGTCAGAACAAGAAAATGTGAATACAGAAAAAACTTCAATGTTTTAATTTTGCTACATTGTATCAAATATGTAGTTTTACAATTAAAAAGATGGCCTGAATAACAGTCCGTCATGTTATGACAAATCAACAAAATCAGAAATCATCAGAATACCCGAAGTATCAACATGTTTTTAATGATATTTCAAATATAGGTGAATGATTGTCGCTCTGAATCCAGGCTAGTAAGTTGAAGGCATATGTAGTGTACTCCGGGAAATCTTTCAAGGTCTGTTTTAATTTTGCCACTTTTGACGTAATCATAAATTAGGAAAAGAGTACTAATGTACTCAATGTCAAATTATTTCGAATTCGTTGGAAAGAGTTTTTGCATCAACCAAAGACAAAGTCCTAGGTCCAAAAGAAAACTATAGGTGTCTCGCCCTTATAAGAAATATTTTGTACAACATTTAAAATATATTTTGTTAAAAACGGTTTGAGTAATTGTATCTCAACAAAAGAAAGACCAATGGACAGAAAGAGGAATACTGAAGCCTAATCTTGGGGTGGGAATTTTTTTTTTGATTTTTTTAGTTGAGGATGCATACTTTCATGATCTGGGCATCACACAAAATTTTAATGAATGTCACAGTTGTGTAACATGTAATAAACCTTAAAGGGACTTAGATTTTATTTAGAATTTAGTTACTTTAAATAACCTGCAAAAAATGCTATTATTAGCGCAGAATGTGTTACTGCATATACAAATATACAACATATTCGACTTTGATGTTTAATTAACGCAGATAACATTCTAGGGTTGATCCAAAAGTAATGTTACAGTGTCCATATCTTTCATATTTAGCGTCATATTATCAAATACAATATACCGAAAGATGCACAAATACAAATCTAATCAACATTGAAACTTTCACTTAATGATTGTTTTTAAATTTATTTTATAGATGTTTAAAACATAGTGCATAGAGGGTGTCGTCGCGTCACAACTAAACGTCACTTTTAAAAGTTTATTTTTTTTCTTAGAATGAAAAAGACAAACACATTAAAAAGATTCTAAAAAAAGCACTTATCTCTCAATTTTTAAAAAGACACAATTCACGTTATTTTTGAGCATTGAATTGAAAATTAAATGACGGCATAGTATTTGTGATCAAAAACATTGGTGTTTTACTATGTTGAATTTTGAACAAAGGGATTGTCGAAATGAGACATTACAGCTCGACGAGTTGTAATGCATTTTTATTGCTTCAAAATATGGGAATCATCACTAGCGACTTTAACGTTAATTAATCAGACTCAAAGAATAAAGAATGTTAATAAGATACTTCTTTATAGATAGTCTCAGTGATTTTGGGTGGGTGATTGTTCATTGAATGATCAGCAGAGGACAAGACCGAAAGATGGGATATCGGACGGCAACGTTCAATGGTGTCTGACGTTGTCAAGAAAGACAGACGGATAGAATGACATGTAAATTTTCAAGTTTGTCTTATGCTACTGTTCAAAAAACTTTGACAGAAGGCTAAATTATGAAAAGAGTGAGTGTGTAATAGTACCAAGAATTCTTAAAGAAAGTGGAATTGGTAAAAGTGTTTGCTAATCACAATATGTTTTTAATGAAACGAAGGGGAAACGCTTAAAAACTTGACGGCGCATATCCGTCATATGACGTTATATTTAGGTGCGGTGACTACCACAAACGCACATTGTTTAAAATCCGATCTTTTAGAAAGTAAACATTATATTCTTCTGAATTTTTCAGGTCTGATTTGAAATAAAGAAAGCTATATATAATTTTGTTGTTTTACGTCGATTTATAACAATTTTATCAAAATTGTGACATAACTTTTGAATCAATCCTCGTACCATTGGAACAGGAGGTTTCATATGTCCCAGGACTATATTCGAATTTGTACGCTCAGTCAGAACCAAAATAAGTGAATACAGAAAAATGTCAATGTTTTAATCTTGCTACAATGTATCAAATATGTAGGTTTACAATTTAAAACATGACTTAAAAAAACCGGTTCATCATGTAATGACAAATTAACAAAAGTTCTTTAGAAGAACCGAAGTTTCATGCTTTTAATGTTTGTTTGTTTCTTTTTTTTTTTTTGCTTCATAAAACTTGTACAAAAAATATTATATGCTAGTGTAATGGAATATACGTTTAACTTTTCAGCTGTTCTTTGCTCGAGTACGACTGAGTGACAAATGATCTGCATATAAATTTACGACTTTTCGTATCGTGACGTCTCAAGCATGGGGCAAAACATTTCATTACATATGCCACTAGCACATATAGAACATGTGTATGACACAATGTGTGCAAAATTGTCATGGTGATCTGAACTGTGGTTTTGTATATACATGTACATGTATACAGATGGTTCGGTAATTTTTGATCACCCCTCTTATACAAATAAAACTCTCTCTGATTTGTACCGAAGAGCAATTCCAACTTTTGTTATACTTTGAATATGCTGAAAATCAGATAGAGAAAGAACTCATTTTCATAGTATATTTAAATCTATTAAGAAACTATACCCTTTCATATATCAACTAATTTTATCCAGCCTGTAATATTATGAATCTATTTTGATCATGTTTATCGTGCATTCACGTCTGCTGTGATAAGGGGTGTCGGTGTTCACGGTTTTATCCGACGTAAAATTTCACAACTTACAGTCCTGTTACATGTAGATAGTGGCATGAAGCCTAAAACGGCATCTAAAACAGTCCTATCACAAGCCAAAAAGACGAACTTTACTCTGTTTTTCACTCCGTATTACTGTCATCTTTCGTCCCATTATAACGAAAAATTTTCATGCCCGGAATATAATTCAAAATATGATGAATTTAATGTATCTAGTGGTTTTTTTTTTCATTTGACAGATTTATTTTCTTTTCTAAATATTCATTGGGTAACAAAAGTGGTATTTCTGTCCTAACTTATATTTACATACATTTATTTTATAAGGAACTTTGTTTATAAATAAAATCTTAATTAAGAATGTTACTTTTAGATGTACAAATAGTGATTGCATTAGGCGTAAGTCAAGAGGAAATTTCACATAAGTTTTTAATTCAATAAAAACATCCCCAACAAATGAGTACACTACGTGGAGTCACGTGGAAACGACCCCATTTGAAATCTACTAGTATAAAAGAGGGATGAAAACTAAAATATCGCGGTAGTATTATGATGTCATCCATTGGAGTTTGGTGCAGACCACCGAAACTTGGCGTGACCATCGGACATGAGTCCCGTCTCACTCTGGAGTCCTACAGATGTATCAGTCATAATCTGGTTAGAATGAAATTCGGGATTTCAGAAATACTATTTTTTATTTGACAGTCATCAAACCCAAGTCACAAATATACATGTAACCGAGTTCGTACACTTTAAATGCCTGTCAATATAAATGTTTCTAAAATGTCAAATCACATGTTTTTCGTATGAAGTCAGAAAGAACATATTTAGAATTTAACCTTGTGAAGTTTAGCATAAATACATGTGGAGCAGGATTACGATGAACATTTGACAAACTGAGAGATTAGATCTACTGTCGGAATCAGAAGCTATCGAGGAAAACTAAAGGTATGTTTTCGGAATGTTTAACACCATATATACGAGCGGTTATCAAAAAGTTCGTAGACTGAGGCTATAAAATTAGTGCTATGTAGTCTAAGCTTACAAAATTTTTATGAAACAAATAAAAACAAAAATAAAGAAATGTTGAAATTTTTAGCTTGATACGTTCATTACTTCACAAAATATTATTAAAATAAAAACGACATTAAATCATAACCCGGCGCCGTCGCTGTTTAGTTTTTTGACGTCCGATAACGTCATTGTTTTTCACTGTCTCCTTCTTCTACCTCAAACACTTATTTAGATTGAATTTCCTGGAGCTGAGTTAGGATTTAATCTGCCTTGTTTATATGATTTTAGAATGTCATGAACATACGCATTTTATGCATATAATATTGCAAATGAATTTCTAAAATGGGAGAGATCCACGCTTGATTGTGCCAGCATATTTTGTTTTTTGAATTTCAATATCTTCAATACATGATCAACGTCGTTTTTGACGTGATTGATTTTTCACATCTTGACTACAAATCGACATTAACTATGTATTCTTTTTTTCTCTCTCAATCTATTTGGCATTAAAATCAAGTACTCTGGATGCATATTATAAAAGTTTAATTTTCATGTATGATTTTGTATAACTTTTTTACATTTTCTATATAACTATAGAATGTATATATTTTAATTTTCCATAGCTTAGAAAACAGTATCATAGTTTAGAAAACAGTGGCATTAATTGTGTCAATTAGATCTCCCTTATGACAACTGCCCTTGAAATTACATCTGCAAATGATTGTCAAAACAATAACCCCTTAACATATTTTTATACACGTTCCATGCTTATTTTTTACCACTTAAAATATAATCATAAGCAATGATTAATGTTTAGAAATACCCTTCTTATTTCATAAGAGAAATATTAATCACATCATTATTTAAACATTTAAACATATTTTGAGAAAATAAAGTTCTTAAAAAAAATTCAAACAATTAATGTAATCGAAGAGATTTCACACCGCAAATCAGGGCATAAAAGTATTTAGGAACTTGCGTGTTATGTCAAAACATTTTAGTAAAGTAATTAAATGGATATGAAATCAACATTAAATTCATGTTTTCTGTTCCGCTATTCAGATGAGGCTGTTAACTTTACTCTGTTTCCTTATTGGTGTATCTTGTGTCTTTGGGAGATGTATCCGCTACTGTTGTCAGTATGGACACGTGGGCCTGCAAGCCAACTGCGAGAAATACTGTAATTTTTGTGGCGACTTTCCCGGATTGAGAGAAGCCCAGGTGAGATTTCCTCCCCTAAATACTGTAAATCACTTTTTATTCGCGAGAACTTTATTTTCGCGTAATTACGCAAGACAGTGTGCTCGCGAAAATTTGATTCTCGCGTATAATAGTATTCCTTTAGATTATATAGAGCAATAACCACAATTCGCGAAAATTTTGTCTTGCTAATCAAGAGTCAATGACTATCTCGCGAAAATAAGGTGTCGCGAAAATTAAGTGATCTACAGTACTTTCATATTTATAAAGTCTATCATTTCTTTATGTGTCTGTCTCATTAGATATTGCTATAAAAATTTCGGACAATTTTAGTTTTAATTAAATATTTTATCATTTCATGGAAAAAAGAAATTTTGAATTCAAAACTTGGACAATCATCATGCATGAATTTATCTTTAGTTAACCGATACGACCAATAGGATTATTTCGTGTTTCTTCTTAAAAACTTATTTAGAAAATTTTAAGTTTATTTTATATAATTTTTGATTCTAAAAAGCAGCATAGATTGACAGTTAAACGGAGCCTGTCAAAGAACATTGGAGACTTTTTTCATCATAAGAAGAGATTTAAACACCATTAGAGAAGTAAGTCTATAATAATGTTCTTCTATCTACAAAAAGCGTTGCAACTAGAACAATAATGTATATACTTAGAAGTTAAAAAGAAACAAGCAATGTAATTGTGTCCATGTCTTTTTCAACTGTTTCAATTGTTCAACACCATGACATTTCCTTTATCTTCCTAAGTTTCGAATGTCACGAAAGTGTACTATATATTATAATATTTTGAGTCACAAAATAGATTTATTCATTTTCATATTAAAAGGAATTTGATAAGGATTTTTGTTATTTTTTTTAGGTGTTTGATAATTTTTAGGAACTTGGATCAAAAGAGTACGACAGGACGTCCCTTTGAATTTACTTACAAGCAGCTTGATTTCCATATAAATAATTCTAATATCTCTTCAGTAGTTAATAAATATTCTCATGCAGAACAATGGAATGTTTTTTTTTTTTTTTCTATTTACGGAAAAGCCAAAATACAAATCCTCTTTATGTTGTGTAATTTTGTAATTGTAGATAAAGGTCGGTTTCTCTAATATTATGTCTCGAACAGTTTGATAATATCCCATGATTGGGATTTCCCAACCACCAATTTGTAGTATCTGCGCTGGATTCCAAAAATAATGTATATAGGGAAATTTTCGCAAATTTAATTTTCGCCCCTTTCAGCCTTCATTGCAATAAGACGATATTAAAAAATGGCGTATTCAAAGAAAAAATCCATTATCTTTGATACAGAATTGTGTCAGGGCAAATTTAAGGCGGGAAAAAATATTACAATAACGGATGGAAATAAGAGGCGATGAATATAACACTGTATACATTATTTCATCGTATCTTACAGTACTTCATTTAATCTGATTTCATCTGAACTTAATTGGTATATGTTGAATCATAAATCAAGGAGGGGAACTGACGCAAAAATTGCTGGTGAAAAAGCGAAAGTAATCAAAGTAGTACATCTTTTTGCAATGCTTATGTCAGCATAAAAGTCGTCACCAATGCCAATTGCAAGGCACACCAAATTAACATTGAAATAAACATTAAAGTTCTCTTTCTTGCAAAACTTAACCAATAATTGGTTAAGGACGCATCTCCAGGTCCCACTGTAGGTATCGAACCCGCGATGTGAGGATCAACTCCTTACGCGGCGACCATAGAGCAGAAGCTTTAACCTCTACACCACGTGGCCTACACAATTTTTTCTTTGGATGTGTCTTAGAAATAAAATCTAAGTTCAAACCAAAATATCCATGAAATAAATTCCCCATAAGATATCTCCTATTTGTATGTACTAGTATATATCTCTCTTCTTATATCTCAGCTTCTACAAAATATAAATTTTAATACTTTTGTCTATCGGTTTGAGATGTCAACAGTAACATCACTACGTCTACGTCTTCACGTTAAGAACGCTCTAAACACTGAAACTAAAGAGCTCTATTTATAGGGTAGCTTTATGCACTTAGAGTAATCTGCCCTTATATGTAAGATTAAAGAAATTGTTATTTACAGTTAATTACATGATTTGTAATAGATTAAAATATTTCTAGCATTATACGTATAAGATCAAGAGTAAGAAATTTAATTAATTATTTTCATTATTTTCCCGATGTGAGTAAACAACAGTGATTTCTGCTCACAAATGATCCATCGTCTTTGAAACTTTTCTCACGCAAAGAAGACACGTACCCTATGTTCTAAAAGAATGGAATAGTATCAATATGCATGCCATTATATAATGTATTTTTTCTAGGTCCAAAACAGTTTTTTTAGTGTTTAAAGCTTCCTTAGTGCATTTCCCTTTGTTGGCAATAACTCAATATCCCTCTGACAAATTAAAAAATGTCGAAGAGTGTTCTTGACTCAAATACTTTCATATGTACGGGAATACGGTAGACATGAAAACTTACGACATTAAATCAAACATAAGAAGCATCCAGCATTTGTTAAAAACGTCTTCTCAAGAACCATTTGACTGTTCAAAACAATCGTCAGCATAATCTGAGATTGTAAAGAGCAGCATACGATCTCCTGATCAACAAGAAGTAATCATAAGAAATGGTATTTTATTAAGATACAGTACCGACCGGACACAACCTAACACCAGAGCGAACCCGGAGCGGACCCCGGGTTCGCTTCCCGGGTTCACTCGGGGTCCGCTTCGGGTTCGCTTTCAGAAATTTTGGGACCGCTCCGGGTGCGCTTTGGGTGCGCTCCGGGTTCGCTCCGCGTTCGCTCGGGGTCAGCTCTGGGTCCGCTAGAGCGAACCCGGCGTTCGCTTCCTGGGACCGCTTTACGCACTGATGCGTGAAGCGGACCCCGCTTTAATCTCACCGCCAGTAAGCCCCGCCCCTTGTATTCCAATACAGTAATGGTATTGTGGATCGATCATTGTTGATTTTGCGACGATGCTGACATGTACACTGCACATGAAAACAGTGATATAATGGAGAACATTGATAAATTTTCTAAAATTCAACTGTACATTCGACGTAAATTTATACATTGTATGTACAGGAATAATTATTTTCATTGATTTTTAGATCCCGAGAAATTCAAACTAATTTAACAGCGGGTTATAAGGCATTTATTTTTCTTAAATTATAATTAACGAGAAAACAAAAAAAGAAGAGGAAGGAGAGAGTGTTGAATTGATTTTCAGTATATCGAATGGTGTGCAAGTGAAACTGACGAAAGAAATCTAAACTAAATACCTTTAAAATTCATGCTTTATATTGTTTAAAAATACATTTCTTATTCCTAACGTTTTGCTAAATCGTAGTTTAAATGTTTGCTTAACACGTGAATTTTGACATCGCATCTATAAATTACACGTACAGTAACCTTTTGTACATCTGATATATATAGATTTCATTCATAGTAGTTACACATTAAAAGTTCGTAATAAATAATTACCGGACATTTTCTAAAAAGCAAATTTACACTGTATATATTAGATCAATTTCACGGTCAGAATTTTGGAGCGAGTATGGTTTTTATCAGATTAAAGAAAAAGGCAAATAATAATTGTTCTCCCGACCCGATAAGAATATATTAATATAGGCCCCCTATTTCACAAACACATTGTCTTTATAAAATTCTAATTATTTAATTAATTTATTTATGATTTCTCAATTTATGTGTTACATTAATTACTCAAAATTTACATCAAAATTTGTGATCTTCTTAATCATGTTAATTTTCTCGATCTTCTTAAAAAAATGCGTGTATATGAAAATCTTCCTTCTGGATGCACAGATTGAAGTCATTCCGCCCTAATGGTATTAACAAACTGAATGACTTCACCAGAATGAACGTGAATTAGATCCAATTCCTGATGATACTTAAAAAAGATTATTCCTTCAATTTAGTGTTCTATAGTTAGTTTGCGTTACCAACTCTCGAACAACCCACATAACTATGTATTGCTTACGCCTTTATCAACATCTTTTTTCCAAATAATTAGTCCTAAAACATTTCAAAATTTATAATAGATCATAATTCATATGTTATAATATCCCTTCTATATTATATTTCTCCGATTATTCTTTGTCAAGTATAGTTACGCCATTTTGAGAGAATGACACAATGTACGATTTACTAAATGTCGAGATTAATTACACTGTAGCATAATTAATTCGTTCAATTATGTAAATCGCACTTCACCTGAGTTTATCCTGGTAAACCAGACGTATTTCAAAGCGGTCCGGATTTGTTTCTTTAATAGTGTATATTTATGTATTCATGTATAATTCTACGTGGAAAATTAAAACATAATTAATTAATTGCTTTAATAAAAAAAAGAAAATAAATATATAAATAATGCAACCCGGGGGATTAAAATAAATAAATATTAAATAATATTTTTATTATCATAATAGATTTACACAGCACATTCACACGTTTTGCTTGTATGTACAGGGTTTGCATTTATATCGAATTAAATCAATACGTTCGATCTTATATCCCAATCGACGGATTAATATGCTATTTTGATTGGTTGATGCGCTGATTGGTTAATCGCTTATCCTGATTGACAGCTTTGTAAAGAAATACCGAACCCGCGTTCGCTCTCTGGGACCGCTACTGAATTTGGGGTTCGCTCTCTGGGTCCGCTTCGGGTTCGCTCGGGGTCCGCTACAGATTCGCTTTGGGTCCGCTCCGGGTTCGCTCTGGGTCAGCCCTAGCGGACCCCGAGCGACCCGGGGCGGACCCAGAGAGCGGGGTCCGCTCCGGGTTCGCTTTCTGTTAGGTTGTGTCCGGTCGGTACTGTATACTTTATATCCTTCTCTTTATTTTGAATGTTTCAAGCACAAAGCATAAGATAATTTATCTTTCTGCACCGATTAATCTTTGACACTAAAAGGAATTATCTAAGTTTATTTATAAAAAAAATATCAACCTAGAAACAAATCAAATATGCTTGGAAAGAACGACCTGATAAAACGCAGTCTATGAATGATGAAAAAATTAGCAAAATCCCCTCATGTACAAAACATTCATTTTTGACTATTTTTTTTTTTTGCTTTTGCATTTTTAAAAATATAATCTAAAATGCAATTAAGCCTTTCTAGCTCTTTGAAAGAAAGGAAGCATCCCAGTTTAAGATAATGAAATCTTATTCTAATCAATTAAAGATTAATAGTTTGAAAAATTAAACTTAAAGTATAATTACAAAAAGGTAAATATGGGACTTCGCGACCTGTCCTTCGGGTGATACCATATAAGCCAAAGCCCTATGTCACTGTAGGTAAAAAAAAAGTTACAAAGTCAATGGGTGCATCTGTACAAGTGTATTTAAATTAAAAGATACAACAATTTCATACAATATCATAATTTTTCACATGTGATGCACTCCAGTAAATTATCTTCTTTATTACTGGGAGCCTCTACTTCTTGTACTTTGTTATCCTGTGGTAGGGAAGATAAATTAAGTCTAATTTGTATACGTCTGACGCGAGATTTCGATATTTGTTTGTTTAAATTTTAAACTAGAGGTACTGTGAGCGATGAGCTCACTAAATGATACCCCCCGCCTACCATATGGTTATCATTGGTGAAAAAGTCCATGTTTTCCTGTGGCCGGGAAACCCAAAATATGTGTCAGATCAAAAAGTAAAATAGGAGGTGCACAATGGCAATATGTAATAAAGATTCTGTGAAAGTTGCATCAAATTTCATTCAGTGGTATGAGAGGAGTTGCGGATAAGAGATGGGTACCCCAAAGCGTAACAGACGGACGGACGGACAGACGGAAGGACAGACGGACGGACGGACACACATTTGGTTATATATTGGGTACATCAAGTCCAAGTCCTATTGGATACTGCTTATTGGATACAAAAAAAGTGTACACACGAGAGAGCATTATTTGGGTAGTTACTGTTCAAATCTTATTGGATATTAATCCTCGTGTCCGTATTTTATTGGG